ATTGTACTTAAAACATATTTCTATAATTGTATTCCACATCCACTCTCTATGTCAGACACTAATTGCAGCTGTCAATGTTTTAGTATGTTTATATCTAAAATATCTTTCATCAATTATATGAAACATCCATTTGTCGTTTGACAGAAGTATACGTCAGATAAAACAACTACTGTGTATATAATGACAGCTGTCACTTTATATCTTTCACCAATTATATGAAACATACATTTGATGTTTGACAGAAGTATATGTCAATTACTATGTATATAATGACAGCTGTCAATGTTATATCTTTCATCAATTATATGAAACATCCATTTGATGTTTGACAGAAGTATACGTCATATGATATAATGAGAGCTGTCAATGGTTCGAAATATCTTTCAAGAATTATATATATAATGACAGCTGTCAATGTTACGTTTTCGTGCGTTTATAGCTGACAGAAGTATACGTCAGATAAAACAACTACTATGTATATATCTTTCATCAATTATATGAAACATTCATTTGATGTTTGACAGAAGTATACATCAATTACTATGTATATAATGACAGCTGTCAATGTTACGTTTTCGTGCGTTTATAGCTGAAATATCTTTCATCCATTATATGAAACATCCATTTGATGTTTGACAGAAGTATACGTCAATTTCTATGTATATAATGAGAGCTGTCAATGGTTCGAAATATCTTTCAAGAATTATATCAAACATCCACCCAATAGTTGACATTTGACATAAATATGTCAGTTGTCAGTATGTCATCTGTCAAGATCTTTCAACTATTAGGTGAAACACAAATGTATGTCTCGTTTCGGGTATAATATGGGAGCAGAGCTTTATATGAAATGTAAATTTCATATAATATTTTGTATTTCTCTAACAATTTGCGCAATTTGAATAATGTATGAATTATTAAAATTTTTCCATGCGGATTTTCAATGTTTACAATTAATTGGCGCTGTGGCTAATGCAGCGGAACGAGTAAAAATCGCTTTACAATGAATTACAATTAGTTTCCGTCGTTATTAATGCGTTATAATTATTATTCTGATGATGATGATGATTATTAATATTATTATGGTTTGCGCTAACAGCATTTGTTTTCGCAATATGTTTTGTAATCCATTTTTGTTTTTTATTCACTCGTTCCGAATGTTTTTTTTGTGTACTCTCTCCTCACACCATTATTTATTATGAAAATAAATTGCGCGTATTTATTCACTCGCATAAATGTTGAGTGGATAATACAAAAGCCGCGCCAAAGCAGGAAACTCGTAAATAGCGCGCAAATGGAGAGAAGAGAAGAGAAAAAATAATGAATAAATGAATGAATGGAAAACACGCATAGCGCCCTCTATGAAAAAACAATAAAAATAAAACGCTTTTTTAAATAATCGATTTGGTCGACAACCAAATATACACACGCGCACAAACGAAAAAAAAACAAACAACTTTAGAATTGTTTGTAGAAAGGTAATTGGAAATTCCGAAAGTTTAGATGAAAGCTCATTGTTTGGGGTTCAATTAAATGCTTCGAGATTCTTGAGATTTATTTGATGATTAATTAATCATTTCGCTGAGATAGTTGGAACGGCTTAATTGGCGGATTTTTCCTTAACTAATTCCGAAGTAATTATGCTAAACCGACGCCCGGAGATTAACCCTACTTTTTTTTCACGTCCCGAATATTGTAACCGCAATGTTTTGGATTATTACAGCGGCAAAGTTATATTAACAAGTTTTTTTTTTCATGATTATCATTAATTAATTATTAGTTTGAAACTCGTGCAATTTGAATATTTCTTTTTGATATAACAACCGATTTCGGGTTAAAAGGTCGAAAGCAATTTGGGTTGCCAAGGCAATTATCGGAGATGCTTGGGTTGCCTGTATCTGATTTAACGTCTGCAATTACGTTGCCAACGCATGAATACAAAATATCCGCTCATTTACGAATGGACAACAGAAAACACGAATTCTTGAATTGCGTTACCAATACAAAATTTACAAAAAAAAATTATCAAAAGCAAGAATATAAAAAAAATCCGCTTATTGAAGAATTGAGGAAAAAATATTAAAATTAGTAATTTTCTTGTAGTTTGGGTTGCCATGACAATAATCGATGTATCTTTGGTTGTCTTTATTTGCTATGACCAACTTAACAATTTGAAAGTTTCCAAATATAAATATAATTTGTCAAATCATTATAATTTAATAATTACATTTTGTCTAGAAAAAATAAGCTTTTGAAATACTTATTGTAATATTTTAAATGAAGCGAAAGAACTAAGGGAACTTTTTCGCTTTGTGTTTTAAATTTTTTGAATATATATGTATTTTGAAGAGAAACACGGACTTTTCATCATTAAAGCTTAACGAAAGACAGAGCAAAGAGGGCTTGTTTCGTTACGGCAACCGCTCTCGCGTCTCTGGGGCGCCTTTATACCCAATTATACGAGCCCACGGATCATATACATTTTTCTCCTCCAGCATCTAAATATCTTAACAATATCGAGGGAATCGTAAAGAAACCAACATCTTTTGTAAACCAACTAGACTCACAACGCAATACTTCAAATTGAACATTTCTCCTCTTAATATAAAAATTTTAGACAAACTTTTTATTGCTTATTACTACATTTTCAATTACAAATAATAAATGATTCAATTAAACAATTCAATATGTTGAATGATCGATTATCAAAAAAAAATATTTTTTAGAAGGTGTATCAAAAATTTTAAAAACTTTTGTAGACTAATTATTTTTTGATTACTGCAACAATTATATGATTAAAATTGAAAACTATTATATAAATAGAATAAATGAACAAAATTTTACAAATTTTATTAAAATCTAAAATTTTGTTAAACAATCAAAATGTAATTGGTTGGTTAAAAACAAACCGTGATGAGCTGAATTTGTATAAACGTAATTAATATTCAGGTTTTGGGATGAAAGAGGAGGTTGGGAAGTGGATTTCTGATGATTCATTCAGATCAACAGTTGAATGTCGCCATCGGGGGGGCTTATGCAAAACTACGCTCACTCGATCCGTGTTGCAAGCGTTTCACTCCATGAGTATTCCATAAGCTCAGAATAATTATGGTCCTTTTGTCCCACCATTCCATTCCCAGAGTTCCTCTCTTTCTCTCGCAGCAATTGCAGCATTAGCAGCAAACTTTATAAATTAAATCAGAAAATTCCCAAACGAAGCAAAATGTATTAATATTTACAATTGTGGCTTCGAATTAAAAAGCAAATCTACATTTTTTTTTTCTCGTTAATTTAATTTTAACTTTATTTCTGTTCCATATTGAAAGAATTAACTGGATTCCTTGCGCAGGAATTTTCGTGATTAAAAACGAAAGTCGAGAACGCTCGGAAAATAACGCAAGAGAGAATTCGAATACATAAATATTCTAAATTCTTTAAATTCTCAATTTTGTTTCAACAATTCTCTAATATTGAGAAATATAAAATAATCAGAATCAGTATCATTTTCTCTATAAGAAATTTATTATTTTGGACCAAATTTTCTGATTGTTTTTTTCCCATATTATGATTTTTCCCTCCCAATTGAAAGTATTCGATTAGCGTATACATAAATATTGATTGTAGTCGATGTTGTTTTGTGATTTGCGTTTTTATATTTTTCGTTTGGTTTATGTGTGTGTGCATTAATCTTGTGTGCATTGAACTTTTCTTTGTTTTCTACATACTCTTCCTTCTTTCTTTCTCTATTGTTTTTTTTTACTCTACCTCTTTTGTTTCGATAAACGCTTTTGTTTTTTTGGTTTCAACAGACTGACTCATACACAAATTACTAACACAAATGACACAAAATGAACTTGTAAATATGTTTTTTTTATATATATACAGCTATAAACACATCCACGTCCATTTTATCAACGTTTTTGTATGTATAGGAATTAAATATGTTTTACTGTTAAATAATTATCATTAATCTTCCAGTGATCTTCATAGACGTTGTTATGAGTTTTATTTTACCTTATTTACGAAAAATTTCTTAGATTTTCATTCTTTTATGAAATTTAATTAATTACTTTGACGAAAACTTTAAAATGATGTTGATTTAAAAAAAATTTAAGAAAAATTCGTACACTCTCATATAAATCTTCATTTACTGAATAGTTTAGTATGAAAAATCAAGTAATAAATAAACAAATCAATTTGTAAAAAGTTTTTAATAACAATTAGATGTTTTCTCTCATTTTCTAAATTATAATTATTTCAATGAAATATCATATAATTAATATAATTTCATCAACATAAAGTAATTTTGACAAAAAAAATGTTGATATTTCTGCAAAAAAAAAAACTGAAAAGGATGTGTTGTGTCCTTGATTCAAGTATTTTCTGAAAAGTTAACTTTTATTGTATTTAGGTAATCTTTACAAATCTTCATTTACTGAATAAGTTTCTATAAAAATCAAGTAATAAATTCATACAAATGCAATAATTAATATATTTTAACTAAATAAACAACAATTTGCAATGTATTTCAAATACTCAATTCAATATAATTAGGAGGTGTAGTGTCCCATATAAAAATTGATCTTAATGATTTTCTTCTCTTGATTATTGATAATAATAGTAACAATTATAATAAATTTATTGATAATTAGATGTTTTCTCCAATTCTCTAAATTATAATGAATTCATTTGCAAATTGCAAACATTGAACAAGTTGTAATTTCTAATAAATTTAAAGCAAATATTTCATTAGGTTAATGTTATCATAGACGATGGAAATGTTATGTTTAAATTATTATTTGTTGCTTAAATGATGCGAAGAATTGTTTTGGTACAGCATTTTTTTGTAGGGTGAAAATGGACATGGATGTGTAAAGGTTTTGCGTGGAATCATGAGAACCGAATTAGCTTAGATTTCATTTTCGGACTGAATCCAGTTGTTATTGTTGTTGTTACTGTTGTTGTATACGAAGAAAAGGAAATGTGTTGAAACGTTGTTGTTGTTGTTTTGTGGCGGTTTGTCGGGTAGTTGCGGCGAGGGGCGAATTATGTCGCCGGATAACAAGGACTGCATGGACAAGGACGAGTGTCTGGATCTGCCCTGCCTGAACGGTGGGACTTGCATCAACCAGGAGCCGCGGCTGCGCTACAGATGCATTTGTCCGGACGGCTTCTGGGGCGAAAACTGCGAGCTCATCCAGGAAGGACAGACGCTTAAGCTGAGCATGGGCGCACTGGCCGCCATCCTCGTCTGCTTGCTCATCATTCTCAGTGAGCTAATCAACTAATCCAAATGTCCCAATTCATACTGATTTCACTTCAGAAAAATGTGGCTTGTTTTTTGTTTTCCAAGAGTCATGCGTGTTTTGGTGTAGATCTTAGAGCTGTAGTGTTAGATTTCTAGAGGTAGTAGTAGTAGTAGATAGAGATAGATCACTTCTCCGAACGTCGGATCCCTATGTTTGTGTTTTCAAACTCGTGAATTATTGCGGAACTGGAGGGTCACGTGCATACAAGCTAATAAATCAATTAGCGCGCGCCACCCTCCCATATTTACCTGAGCCACCCACACGTCTTCAAACAAGACCTCTTCCTCCTCTCCCATGTACCCTCACACACAATTGAAGGCAATTACCAGAAATTAAATCTTCGCCCTACTCACATCATCATCATCATCATAATGATCGTGCGATTATCCTCGGTTCCACCCCATTATCACGATTACGTTGCTACAATTCCCCCGCAACGTCAATGACAAGCATATCAAATGCAGACCATCCCATTACTTGCTGCAATCCTCTACCGCACTATTGCTTTTCATGAAAAACGTATTTCTATTTATTTATGTATTCGCCTCGAGCGATATTCAAATGCGATTCAATTCGTAAATGAAACTCTCCTCGGATTTCTAAACATGCAAACAAATGAACAATATATATATATATATAGGAAAATCAAACCGGAAAACACGTGAACCGGACGAGCGAATCTGCGACGGACATCGTTCAAATAAAAAATCCGAAATTTACATTTCATCCGTTTTGCGCATCGAAGTTTCATCGCAAATATTAGTTTTGTGTGCATCCACAAACAAACAAAATGTTAGAGATGTATTTAAAAAATAATCACTTTTAAGTAATTTCTTTTTTGGAAAAAAAAATAGAATAAGGGAGGTGTTGTGTCCAGCTTAAAATTATTAATAATTTGCTTCTAAAAATATTTCTTCTGAACGCAATGAAACAAGTTGCAAAAGTTCATCTAACTAATGCTCGAAAGCAATTTTTTTTTATTCCATCTTTTACACTTTTTCCCGATAGCGAAGCGGTTGCAAATTGAAGTCATTAGAGAAGAAACGTAGAGAATATTCATTTATATATATATAAAAGTATAAAAGTAAGAAGTGAAAGACGCACACAATTTACTTCTATTTTTTTTTTTAATTTGGCGATGGAAATTCTGAGCGGAAAACTTTACGAAAGGAGCGATTTCCGCGCATTTTCCTTTCTTATTTCTCATGCATATTATTATTTCCATTCATTAAGTTCGGTAACATTTTTTTTTATTATTCAGTCGTGTTAAGTTACACCTTTTACGGCGAGCATAAAGAAAAAAAACTTAACGAGAGGCATCGATTTAGAATGTCAGATTTTACGCGCAATATATTTTACAATTTCGTGAAGAAATTGAGGTATGCAAATTTTTTATTTAAACGTTAGCAATTATATAAAAGTTGCATACACTTTAACTACATATTGTTCTCTCGTTTTTGTTTTTTTGTTTTTTTGTTTTCATTTTGGATTCATCTGATGCGGTGGTAAATCTTCTCGCGTGAATTATGAGGCGACTCACGTTCGCGCGGGGACGTGCTTAAAATAAACGTGAGACTTATGAAGTTCGGAAAGCGGGTTTTAGGGGGAAAAAAATGTACGGACGGACGTCGTTACCACATACATAGAGGCTTGAAATATTCAATAAGTAAGGGATTCCCACAAATTTGCTGCCCCTCACTCACACCACGATGGACAACCCTTCTTGCATTGATGTACGACTTTTGCGGCGGATAATATATCCGGATGCACCCGGCGCATCCACCATACGAATGATATAACGTGAACTTGATCGAAACTTTTTTTCACTTACGAAATCATTTCTTAAAGACGAAATATATTGGAAAATAATCTCAATTTAATTCAAATTTCCAATAGAATAAAAAAAAAACTATACAATTTGAATTATTTACAATTTTGACTATAAGTTTTGTTCGATTATCTAAACTAATTTTGTTATAGATTTAGTTGAACAGAAAAATTTAAATATGTTACAATTATTGATAATAATTATATAAAAAAAAAACTGTTTTTTATGAAAATTTATCGAAATTGACTCATAATATCCGGATGCACCCGGCGCATCCACCGTACAAATGATATAACATGAACTTGATCGAAACTTTTTTCACTTATGAAATCATTTCTTAAAGACGAAATATATTGGAAAATAATCTCAATTTAATTCAAATTTCCAAAAGAATAAAAAAAAAACTATAAAATTTGAATTATTTACAACTTTGACTATAAGTTTTGTTCGATTATCTAAACTAACTTTGTTATAGATTTAGTTGAATAGAAAAATTTAAATATGTTACAAATATTGATAATAATTATATAAAAAAAAAACCTGTTTTTAATGAAAATTTTACGAAATTGACTCATAATATCCGGATGCACCCGGCGCATCCACCATACAAATAATATAACATTCGAATCTTTGATCGAAACTTTTTTCACTTACGAAATCATTTCTTAAAGACGAAATATATTGGAAAATAATCTCAATTTAATTCAAATTTCCAAAAGAATCAAAAAAAAAACTATAAAATTTGAATTATTTACAATTTTCACTATAAGTTTTGTTCGATTATCTAAACTAACTTTGTTATAGATTTAGTTGAACAAAAAATTTAAATATGTTACAAATGTTGATAATAATTATATAAAAAAAAACTGTTTTTAATGAAAATTTAACGAAATTGACTCATAATATCTATATCTAAGTCAATGTAGTGTGGCAAAGATTTAGTTATTAATCTCTCAGCACTCCTCCCTACATTACAACAGACGCTTGTTGCTTTTTCATACTTCCGGTTTTCGCAGCCGCCTGTTGTAATGTAATTCATGCGATGCCCGAACAAGAAAAGAAAAGAAAAAGGAAGTAGGAAAGAATGAAAGGACGTAAAGTAACGTCGTAACGAGTCGTAGCGTAAACCGGAAGTGCAACGGCGATAGATGGGAGCGGCTCGGGATGGACCCATTAACAACCACCATCACCGCCGCCCCCGATTTTAATTCAAACCCTCTCCCTCCTCCTCGTTTCATGCGGCGACCGAAATTATTAGAGCGCGCCGCGCGAAAGAATTCGCCTTCCGGAAATTGTTTCGTCCTTTTACGTTTTTTGCTTTTGTTTTCTGCCTCGAAAAGCAAAACAAAACGAAGGGCAGAAAGCGAGGAACAAAATGAAAACGACTAATGGGAATCGATTGTTTCTGGGCCAACAACAATTGGAGCGTGATGAAATTTCTTTTGCTCAAAAATTGATAATATTTTTCGTTCGTACATTTGGTTATTTACGTCGTACCAACAAAGAGATATTGTTAATGAAACAGTACTGTTTCCTGTCGAAAAACTGAATATTTTCCAATATTACATTAAAATCTTATTCATTTGAAAGAAATAACAAAATGGAAGTTATAACAAATTAAGAAAGTAAAAAATTGGTCAAGTTTGGACAACAGATTTGATTGTTTTTTCAAAAATTCAAAGATAAATTTGTTTGGATAATAAACAACAAAAAAAGACACATTATTTCAATTGTTTCTTCGAAATTCATATATTAACAATTAATTTTTCACAGTTGTCTTTGAAAAACAATAAAAAAAAACTGAAGAAACGTCAAAACAAAAAAGTGAACCAATAAATGACATAATGAAACTCAATTGTTTTATTGGAATCAAGTGATTCGTTCAGAGGAGAGAGAGAGATCGCGAAAAAAAAAACAATTGTTCGAAAATTGATAATATTTTTCGTTCATACATTTGGTTATTTACGTCGTACCAACAAAGAGATATTGTTAATGAAACAATACTGTTTCCTGTCTAAAAACTGAATATTTTCCATATTACATTAAAATCTTATTCATTTGTTGGTGCATTTGAAAGAAATAACAAAATTGAAGTTATAACAAATTAAGAATGTAAAAAATTGGTCAAGTTTGGACAACTGATTTGATTGTTTTTCAAAAATTCAAGGACAAATTTGTTTGGATAATGAACAACAAAAAAGACACATTATTTCAATTGTTTCTTCGAAATATTAACAATTAACTTTTCACAGTTGTCTATGAAAAACAAACAAAAAAGAACTGAAGAAACGTCAAAACAAAATAGTGAACTAATAAATTAAACATAATGAAACTCAATTGTTTTGTTGGAATCAAGTGATTCGTTCAGAGGAGAGAGAGAGATCGCGAAAAAAAAAACAATTGTTCGAAAATTGATAATATTTTTCGTTCATACATTTGGTTATTTACGTCGTACCAACAAAGAGATATTGTTATGAGATAATACTGTTTCCTGTCTAAAAACTGAATATTTTCCATATTACATTAACATCCTATTCATTTCTTGATGCATTTAAAAGAAATAACAAAATTGAAGTTATAACAAATTAAGAAAGTAAAAAAAATTGTCAAGTTTGGACAACACATTTGATTGTTTTTCAAAAATTCAAGGACAAATTTGTTTGGATGATGAACAACAAAAAAAGACACATTATTTCAATTGTTTCTTCGAAATTCATATATTAACAATTAACTTTTCACAGTTGTCTATGAAAAACGAACAAAAAAGAACTGAAGAAACGTCAAAACAAATAGTGTACTAATAAATGACATAATGAAACTCAATTGTTTTGTCGGAATCAAGTGATTCGTTCAGAGGAGAGAGAGAGCGCGAAAAAAAAAACAATTGTTCGAAAATTGATAATATTTGCGTGGGTTTCCATTAATAATCGCGCGATTTATGGCGGATCGGCATCGCTGGCGTAGCGAAACAAAACAAAATCGAAACGAAAAAAAAGCATGTGCACTGAATATACAAACCGCTGAAATGGATGTGCGGCCGATAAATCGAGCGACCGGGATTCCCCCGCATATAAATTCATAATCGAGGCGCGTATCTCTTTCGACCCCTCTGGCTCACCTCCATCGCCATCCGT